ATATTTTCTTATGACTAAAGATGCTTTAGAAAATAACCTCTCAGCATTCACTGACACTGGATGTCTTCCGAAGTTGCGGACCTCGGATTATTTAGATACTCATCGAACACGTCGATAACTAAGACTCGAAGAACAGATCCAGATGATGTAAAAGGGCATGTGTACAATTGATTAAAGTCTATTACGTCTTCCTCTTCGTCATATTCACATACTTTGTTTTCATTTCTTGGTAATCCTGGAGATGCAGACACAGAGTCAACTGAGTGTAGTCTTTTATATTCCTTATAAAGTTCTTCAAACTTGCGCAGGTTTTCTGATTTAAGTTGCTTTCCCCATAATATGGTATCGAAAGTTTGAGCGTTTGTGTGTATCCATGCATCCGCGATACAGGGTTTCCCTAGTGCGGAGCTGCGAGTGTGTGCGTTAAAAAAAGAACGTTTGACCTTTGTGCCTTGGGTCTCAATTAAATTAAATTCGGAGACATCGACTGCGACGTCAGAGCCCGAATCGCAGCCGCTTGGGCAAAGTGGCGTGAGGTGACTGGTGTCATTTGTGACCCCGAGATGCCGGTTAAGCTGAAAGGACAGGTCTATAAATCCATCATTAGGCCTGTACTTTTATATGGCAGTGAAACGTGGCCCCGTACTTGAGCGTCATAAGCAGGAGCTGCGTGTCACGGAAATGAAGATGCTGCGCTGGATGTGTGGAGTTTCACGGAAAGACCGTGTCAGAAACTCCCGCATCCGCGGCGGCCTTCACGTCCGTGACATTGCAGATAAACTGCAAGAAAGCCGCCTACGTTGGTACGGCCACATCTTACGAAAACTATATGCTACGTGGGAAACAAATGTCTGGCTATGCCACCTCCGCCGGGCCCCGGTAGAAGGGGCAGACCCAAGAAGTGCTGGCTTGATGTCGCCAAGGGTGATATGCGTGCCAATGGTCTCACCACTAAGGATGCCCAAGACCGTGCAAAGTGGAGGAGAAAAAGTAGGAAAGCGGACCCCGGGCTCCGCAGCAACACTGCTGAGGACGCAACCGGGACAACGCTCAGATGAGAGAGAGAGAGAGAGGTCTCAATTAAATTAAATCCAGTTGGTCATTTTATAATGCTTAAGCATTTTCTTTTGGGCGGCTTGGAAACCCACTAAATACACCACTTCAGTTCGACTGGGTTTGTCATCTAATTGTTTTACCGTAGATTAAATTTTATCGAGCAGAACTGTCCACCTCATAGGAAATACCAAATATTAATCGAAAATATTTTTGTGAGTCCTCGTCATTGATCAAAGAAAAGGGAAAATATTCCTTGGCAATCCAATCAACTGTAGCTGCCGCGAAGTTGTTACTGCGGCTTTCAGATACTTACTAAAACAATATAATAAAACGTGTTAATACTTAATAATAATAATAATTATAACAGGTGACAGACATCCTACTTATGAAACTGTACAGTCGACTCGGATAGAATGAATGAAAGTATAATGCCTATTTTCATTTATGTTTGGTTCGGCATGAAATGGCGAGTTTTGCTTAAAAAACAACTATATAACATGTTTCAAATACGATTTTAACATGTTATTCAATAAATATTATTGAAAATAGTGGTGAGATAGTTGAAACTTTCAGTGTGAATGTATAAGAATGATTTACTTCCGATTTTACTTAAGCTGATTTGTTTACTTCTCATGAAGAATGGATTGACACCAACTATAAGCAAATCTTAAACATTTTAAAGAATTATGTTAGATAATATCTCACCTGTCCATCTCTTCCAGCGGTTTTAAAAATCTTGAAATGTCTCCAATTGTTGTTGGTTTTTTATAGATATAAGTTGTTGCTATTCCTTTTCATGACAATATACGAGTAGATGCTTCCTTAGCTCCGAAGTGTTTTTCAACTTTTTTTTCGTAGTTTGGCACAACAGACAGAATTGCAGACAGCAATTTCAAATGCAGGAATTATTTCAAAAAACACATCAAATTTGCTCTTAAAGCACCTAGATACGACACGACTCTTACTACACTGACTTGTGTCAAAAGTTATTACTTGCCCGACTCGCAGCGAAGTTTAATTGCAAATAAACAAATCTCAAATAAAACTCCTATTCATAGGCAGTACTGAAAAAAGGGGCAAGGAAAGGTTCGGCTACATATTGATAAAAAAAATAATGATTCGTTGGCAGATGAAAAACAGAAGAGAAAACTTGATTACAGTTTTGTGCAAACTACACAAATCTTTTGATAAATAATAGACCTCTAAACTTCGCAAAATAAAAGAGCAAAGATATAGAGCATAATATTGACAGCAAACCACAGCATTACAATTTGTAAAACTGCTGCAACACTGTTTGCTTTACTCGATTACGTATGTTTTAATGAATAAGCTGTGTTTGAATTAGTAGTTTTATAACAATATTGGTAGGTTTATAATTTTAGGCATAAAATTCGTAAGAACTCAATTCAAAGTAAATGAGAGACCGCAAGAGTCGGTCTCGGTCTTAGTTTAGGTGTTTTTGGTCTTGGGACAATAAAATAAATAATATATTAAATATTAGACAACGTCACATAAGTTTCTTTGATCCCAAGGTAAAACTAAAGCACTTCTTCGGCTAAATTTGAAAACCTCGTAACTCGATTTTTGGACGAAATCCATTTTTTACTCTTCAAGCGCAATATCGGGCAATTGAAGCTTGAAGAATAGTATGGAATATTTCAATATTTCAGTATTTATTTATTCACGAACACGCAATAAAATTACATTAGAGTATATAAGAGTATAAGAATATATAAGAGTATATACAAACATGGAAGGGTACGTATCTGTTATTAAGAACGATTTACAGCTATTTGTATGACGTAGGCTTAGAATTATCCTGAGGCACTTTTTCTGTAATATGAACATCTTTTGCACCTCATGAGTGTGTACCCACAGGATAATTCCGTAGCGGAACCAGGCGTTTGCATACGCCTAATATGTATTCAAGGCACAATCGATGTCTATATTTGTTTCAGTACACTTTATGCAATATGTTTAGTCCAATTTAAATTAGTGTCTATAGTTATTCCTAACACACTACAATCTTTAACTTCTTCAATATTCAAAGCTACGGTTAATGTATTCAAATTTAAAGGTTGTATCTGCATACTAGGGCTTAAGTAAAATTAGGTACATTGTATTCAACCTGCAAGCAGATGTGCAAATATCAATAGAATTTAATGTTTAGTCTCTATAGTTTCAAATTAATGTAATGAATTTGTAAATTCTAAGTATTCTTTATTACTATAGAAACAATGTGTCTTTGTCAATGTGTCAATTGACAAATCCATTTTGTCTATTGTAATTTAAACGTATGTCGTTGTAACAATTTAATTCCAAACAATTATTCTTTACAGTTATTCTTATAAATTACTTTGTGACTTTGTGACTTCACCAGGTGTTTTGAAATATTGAGGATGAGAGTTGACAAATTCCACAGATATCCCTCCCTAATGTACATGCATGGTAAAATCAATAAGTTTAGCCTTTTGATCAGCGGCTTGCAACTGTCATCAAACCACGCACCGCAAATTGCTCGAATACCCTTCTTCTGGACTTTAAACACTCTTTCTTATTTGTAGTCTTCTACTGAGTTGCCCCATAGTATAAGACCGTAGCTGAGTACGGACGAAACGTAGCCGTGATAGGCCGTCAACGCAGCTTCTCGCAAGACAGTCTGCCTTAGTCTTCGTAGAGTTCATGCAAATCTGCTCGATGTGTTCCTTCCAGTTAAGGTTCTTGTCGATTGTTAACCCAAGAAAGTTAAATATGTCAGCTTCATCTACAGCATCAGCATTGCAATTCATTTTAACCTCTATGATATTTGAATTATAAGATCGAAATATCTTAACTTTGGTTTTACTTATATTAATATTCAAGTCAGTGACGTTCATCCAACTTATTATGTCTGTCAGTGTTAAAAGTCGCTTTGTTTTGGCATTTTATTAAAAGAGTTGTATCGTCAGCAAATTGTATACAATTATGATCAATACCACGTGGGAGATCGTTAATATAAAGTAGGAACAGTAATGGACCTAAGACGCTGCCTTGCGGAATCCCAGCATTAGTCGTTTTAAAGTGGGGTCTAAAAATTTGTTTTTCTAATCTATCATTATGTTTGTTTTTTGTAATTCTACTCATTTCCATATACTATGTCCGATTTTTTAAGTAGCTCTCTATCCAATTTTGGGCTTCACAATTTGTAAAAACTTTTTTAGTTATAAAATAAAGGTATAATCATAGATTGTCAGGTAATTATTTGTAGTAATCTGTGTTTTGTGCCTACTCAAAAGTTCATTTTGACGGAGGTTACGAGGTTTACGAATTTAACCGACGACCCGTTTATGGAAATCGGAAACAACGTCATTACCAAACAAACCCGAGATAAATTAGAAAAATTACTTTTTCTATATTGATTCGGCCGGGGGTCAAACCCGGGACCGCAGAGATGGTGACACATGGCTGTTGTCGATTTGGATTGAACTTGACGCTACTTACAGTACCGGCACGCTATGATGGCCTTTTTGACATATTACAATAATGAGGTCAAATCGTAACAAATATAATCAAATGCGAGCCGCTCCTATGACTTTTTAGATTTAATAACTAGTATAGCAATGTTGATAAAAATGTTGACTTAATATATCGTCAATAGGAAACTACTTTATTTTGCATTGAGTTTTGACGCGAGTTTGTCGAAGGTAGAAGTTATGGTGGCCAGCGATCCCATAACTGACGATCGTATTAGATTTCATTTTTTTAAATTTCGAAAAACAAATGCCGAGTAGTGTCGTGAAATTATACATCCATAAATATTATTGCACTTCACTACTGACAACAAAGTACATCAATTAGCTCCTGCAACGTAGTTACGAATTAAAACGAAACTTGATGAGCGGACAAACGTCAAAACGGCCATCACAGCGTGCCGGTACTTTAAGTAGCGTATATGTAATAAGTACCGGCTTTGTTCAGAGCTTCTTCAAAGGGCACTGGGGAATCTTCGGTCTTACAAACTGCCATGCTTCCGTTTGTTGTACGGTCGTCGCGAGATGAGATGAAATTTCGCGTTTGATAGTCGCGCGTTTATTGCGAAGGACGCAATTCAACTGAATGAGAGCTTCCTTTTGTTTTCAGTCATAACGAAAGACACGTACAGTGGCGTTCACAAACGCTGCAGACGTTTTCTTTTACACTATGAGATGTCGCAGACGTTTATCACCAAACGTCGGCTTCTAAGGGTGGCAATGCACATCGTCCTTGTTTTGTAGAAAAGGCGAAAGCGCCATTTCGAACAATTTTTCTGGGGAGCATGTTTTAACCAGTCTTAACGACCGTTTGAAAATATTTACGTCCTGTTTTCAAATTCACTTTTGGTTTTAATTAAGTTTAAGTTTTAAAATTGAATCTAAAACAGGACGTAAGTATTATGAAACGATTTTTATGCATATTTATGCTTCCCAAAAAAATTTTTCGAAATGACACTTTCGCTCATTCTATAAAATACTGACGACATATTAACTCGGAATTGGGTTGAACCGAAGCGAAAAACCACCTTATTTCGTTTCCCTTTCGATAATAACGTAACACACTCATAGCCCCGCTCTAGGGAAACCCTGTGTCGCGGGTGCCACAGACACACGCAAAGACAATCACAAATTACGCCCAAAATCACGAGAGAAATAAATGTACGCCATGCACATATTTTTCCCGGCCTGGGAATCGAACCCAGGACCTCTGCGTCACAGTCCAGCATGTTAACCGTTAAATCATCAGTTAAATCTAGTGACTCACTAATAACAATAATGTGGCAGCCAACCACCCCAATTACCTGATCTCAAAGCAGGCAATTCCCTGTACTTACTACAAGGACTCGTAACTTCTTTTCATCCGCAGCCTGATTTCACCCACTGCTGGGTATAGGCCTCCCGAAGGTTGTCGGTCATTCTCGGAATAGTGTTCACTGCCTAATTTCCGTGGCAATTTTTATTATTTTAAGTATTCGATTTTTTTATCGTGCAATATTAAATACCTCCAATGATCAATACGTCAACTTTATTTTTGCACCTGAATGTACCGGGTCAAGAGCACGTCAAGCTTCTTGTAGATTTAAATCCAACTCTATACCGCTTACGTTAAGAACGGTCCAAAGTTCAAAGTGTCAAGCTTGATGTGCTCTTGACTGTAGCTTGATGTGCTCTTGACTGTACCTGAATGGACCCAATGACATTAATTTGTATATACTTAAATACTATCAACTTAGCAGTAAGATTACAATTGCGTTTGGATATTCATCTGTTAGCTAAAAAAACGAAACCAAACCTGTTCCGTTTTAATTTTGCTTTTTTTCACAAAATCGCTTTTTTGTTTTTTTTCGAATTCGTTTTTGTTTTATTTCCTTTTTCACAAAATTCGTAGAGCATAATGTTAGTAAATAAATATTGGGCTATTTACAAAAGTAACACAAAATGGCCAAAAATAAAGTTGTAGTGTCCATTGGTGGTATCGATTTCATGATAGAAGGATTCAATCGTATGTAATAAAACGCAAATCAATAATAATGTGTCTATGAAATAATAACCTTAACTCTTTTAAGGTCACTATTTTTAATCTGTAACTGTCATCGTTATTGTCCTTGGTGTTAAACCTTTGCTTCTGCCTCAGAGGAAAGATTAAAAAAAAAAACAACGTCGAGAAATTTATTTATAGGCGCTTTTCTTCAACTGGTTATTTCTAAAAAAAATTGAAATTGCGAGACACAAATTAAACCATATTATAAGAGAGGAAGATTTTCACAAAATATTTTTGAGTTCATGTACATATTCTGAAGTACCTAATTCTTGCTTAAAACTATGTTTGATTTGATTAGATTTTTCATTTGGTCTCTTAATTATAATCGTCTTTGCTCAACAATACAACAAAAAGTAAACCTTACCTTGCAGAAAACCTTTTTGTGTCTCCTTTTACTCGCGCGACCTGTGGGTGGACCACGCAGAGGGCGTACAATGAGCTTCGCGTGCAATACAACAACGCGTTCCGGGTGACGATGGAGCCGCTGCGGCGGTGCAGCGCGTCCGGCATCTTCGCCGAGGCGAGGACTGACGGTTTCGCAGCCGTGATGAGGAAGAGGTGTGCCTCGCTGGAACACGGCTACGCGCCAACCGTATCCTGAGCGTGCTTGGGAGCCGCAATGTTAATGTGTCTGATTTTATATTTTTATTTTTTCATCTGGATTTTATTGCATACACTACACATATAGTTCCTTAAGATTTTAATTTTGTTTTACTAACACTTTTGTATGGACCACCATCAGAAGTCTGAAATAAAGATATTTATTTTTTATTTATTTCTCTTCGCAGATCTGAAAACACAACAAATATTAAAAAAAAAACTGAATCTATTTTAGGAAATTGAAAATTTTTTTCCGGAAGGAAACCATTTCATTCAATTTTTTTGTACCTCTTGCACATTCAAAGTATGAAAACGTTTTTATTATACGTATATACCGTTCTTCATTGTCTAATGGTCTGATGATTGCTATATGGGCGCTGTCAATGCACCCACAGTCGCCAGGGATACCATACATCTTGTAGAATCTGCAAAAAATAGAAATCATCACAATAGTTTTTTACTGATATCTTTCGAATTCCTAGTTCACCTCTTAATCACCAGAAAGGAGCAGATTGTGGTAAACCAAGAGCGAAAACCATTTTAATCTCTTGTAATATTATATTTATAATTAATGACAATTTGGATTCTAAAAAACAGGTAGACGTAGCATATTTTGATTTCCAAAAAGCCTTCGACCGAATCGATTGTCATGTTCTCTTAAAAAAACTGGCTATCGCAGGATTCTCAGAAAATTTGGTCACCTTCTTTGCAGACTATCTCAAAAATCGTGAACAATATGTGCAATATCAATACTGTAAATCTGATACATACATAGTCAATTCAGGCGTAGGGCAAGGTAGTAGCTTGGGGCCATTAATGTTTCTAATTATTATTAATGACCTACCCGCATGTACAAACCACAGCACATGCCTCATATTTGCAGATGATGTCAAACTGGTTAGGGCCATTGTGACCGACACGTTGACTGTGCGCTACTTCAAGAAGATATAAACAATGTGCATAAGTGGGGAAGTACAAACAGCTTACATTTAAACATTAATAAGTGTGCCATAATGTCATTTACCCGCACCCGCAAATGTATAACTAATAACTACTTAATAGGAAACACCAACATAACAAGAGCAAGTTCTGTTAAAGACCTGGGTACTTGGTACGACTCTAAACTGACCTTCCAGGAACATGTTTCCAAAGTTAGTAAATCTTCACGCAAGTCTCTCGGCTTTGTGTTGCGGCAGACCAGGCAATTCAAGGATAGAATCACCTTGTGTATGTTGTACAATTCCTTTGTTAGAAGCAAGTTGGAATGTAACTCTATGATTTGGAACCCCATACATGACAATCATACGCTAAACATAGAAAAAATTCAAAAAACATTTGTACGTAGTCTTTACAGCAAAATCTATGGTTATTACCCACTTCTGTACCCCACTACCTTTATTTTGGGTATGGTTGAGTACCGCACGCTAGAAGTGAGACGAAACCTGTCTCTCATTACTTGTATATTCCGTCTAGTGCGCGGAGTTTCCTATAATCCTCTTTTGTTATCAATGATAGGTTTTTCTGTTCCGCGTTCATACGCGGTGCGACCACTTCGACAACGATTATTTGCCTTGCCTATTACTCGGTGTAAATCCAGTAGGTCGGCTCCCTTACCTCGGGCGCTTATGCTTATTAATCAAGTGCTTACCTCCGACTCCTCGCTAGACCTATTTCATTGTTCAGAGTCTAAATTTATATTCTACTCAGGGCTCTACCTCGAATCCTTGACCAGACCCAGCAGTATTTAAGTTTAGCTTTATAATATATTTTTTTGCTTTTTTTTTTAATTTGACGTTTTTTTGTTTTACATTTTACTTTATTAATTTCTGTATTGCCTTGACATGAATTTTTGTTACTATTTGTGATTAATGTACTATTACTTCTTTGACATTTTTTTTTATTTTGTAGTATTTTGACTTTTACAACTGTTGCGTCTAGATATACTCTGTTAGCAATATGTTTGTACAATAATTGAATAAATGAATTATGAATGAATTATGAAATGAATTATGAATACAGTTTCGTTCCCCATGAAAGTGAAGAAATGTTATATATCGTCCAGTAATAGTTTAAGTTATTTCTACGTTTGTTAGAACACCATTTGTTTGATCATCGAGGCCAAGTCATCTTCGTCATCCACTGCTGCTGCCGCCTGCTGCCTTGGTAGCTCCCTCTCACATAAAAATTGACAGAAAGTCACATGCTTACTTTCATAAACTTTAATTTTGTTAGGAGTCGAATAATTAATAAGCCTAGTATTATAATAAATATATAGTTTCTCTTTAAATTCACTTCTAACATAAATGTTTGTCTTTATATCGTTATCCATGTCAACATGAATGAATAAACTTCCTGATGTCAACGTCTTTGATTTTTTTTTTTGGTGTGGCAGCATTGGTATTATTGTATTACAAATCTTTTGAAACAAACTTGTGTTACACTAGATGATGTTTTATAAATTCCAAGTTTCTTAGATACCTTAGGGGTCTGTCTAAAATCTCCTCACGGATTGCTTCTTCGATTAAAAACAAGTGTTGCGAACACAACAATTTTTGTAATTTTAACATAATTTCCAAAGCACTACTCGTACTCGTACTACAAAACGCTGCTCGTCAAGGGCACATTATGTAGGCCTATTTTGAACCAATCTAGTAAAACCACATATGTCTTTTTCATCCCTACCACATTTGTAACGAATTTTGTACGTAACTAAAAAGGTCAAAAGGACCGTTCACTTTTAAAACTGTACCCCTTCAGAATCTACCACTGTATCGATTTAACAGCACTACTCCTGTAACTAACCAGTCACCTATTTTAAAATATAACACAGTTAACTAAAAGCGTCTTTGATTTTACGAGTCATCG